AGCAAAAATAGCTGCTGAAGCCAAGGAAGAACATCAATAACAGCATCAAAAGTCACAGACAGGCGGCTGGAGGCCACAGAAGGGCCAGCGGCAGCCATGCTTTCTCATCCTTCTCCTCCACTGCACCTGCGGGAGACCGAGAGGTGGAAGGGGTGATGACGCCAGGACCCGGCAGAAGCAGTACCCGCAGAGCACAGCCAAGGCAGTGATCACATGACTCCCAAATATCTTCGACTAGTAGATAGTGAACTGTGAGAAATAAAATGATCGGACAAGAGACAGGTACAACAGGACTGTAGATTAACAGGAAATGTCGAGCTAATTTCAGACGGCAGCATGCAGCACGTCATTTAAATAAAATAAATATGGCCGAGTGGTAGGTAGGACTTGATCCTTGTAAGATTTTTATAATTTAACACCAAAACAGTAAAGGAGGCCTCATGGAAGAAACTTGAACTAGGCCCGGGTTTTTCAACCCTTTCAAATTTGAAACTGCTGGTTACATATCTCCTTTTTTTTTTTTTGAAGCAGAGTCTCACTCTGTCGCTCACTGCCACCTCTGCCCCTCAGATTGAAGCAATTCTCCTGCCTCAGCTTCCCGAGTAGCTGGGATTACAGGCACCTGCCACTGTGCCTGGCTAATTTTTGTAGTTTTTACTAGAGATGGGATTTCACCATCTCGGCCAGGCTGGTCTTGAGCTCCTGACCTCATGATCCACCCAACTCAGCCTCCCAAAGTGCTGGGATTACAGGTGTGAGCCACTGTGGCCGGCCTACACACCTCTTTTTAATATCATGATAGTAATTGTATTGTAGTATCTGTGATGAAGATAATATGTAATGAAAGATATTTTGAATTCTTTGATGCCTTTTTAAAATTTTATTTATTTTATTTTATTATTATTATTATTATTATTTTTGGAGATGAAGTCTTGCTTTGTGGCCCAGGCTGGAGTGCAGTAGCGTGATCTTGGCTCATTGCAACCGCTGCCTCCCAGGTTCAAGCCATTCTCCTGCTTCAGCCTCCTAAGTAGATGGGATTACAGGCGCCCGCCACCACGCGGCTAATTTTTGCATTTTTAATAGAGGCAGGGTTTCACCATGTTGGTCAGGCTGTTCTTGAACTCCTGACCTCAGGTGATCTGCCCACCTCAGCCTCCCAAAGTTCTGGGATTACAGGCGTGAGCCACCGCGCCTGGCCACCATCATCTTTGTATATCAAGAGTGAATATGTGGCATGTTAATGTTTAGTCGACAGTGTTATTGTACTCTGTGGGTTTGGGGCCTTCTCTTTGCTAATTTGGCTGCTTGGTAGAAGTTTGCATGCACAAGTTGGGTACTACTGAGTTAAGCATTAAAAAAAAAAAAAAAAGGGCAGGTAGGCCAGGCGCGGTGGCTCACAAGGTCAGGAATTCAAGACTAGCATGGCCAACATAGTGAAACCCCTCTACTAAAAATGCAAAAATTAGCCAGATGTGAGAATTAGGAGAATCGCTTGAACCCGGGAGGCGGAGGTTGCAGTGAGTCAAGATTGTGCTATTGCACTCCAGCCTGGGCGACAGAGCGAGACTCCATCTCAAAAAAAAAAAAGAAAGGCGGGGGCAGGTAGAATTTCCACAGGTAAAATAGAAGAAGGAGGGGTTCACAGACAGGAGAAAACAGAAACACCATGGTGGCTTTAGAGTGGGCAAGGCCATTTTCAGATAGAGTGAAAGTTGTGTGCTTTAAATCTTTAGGGCTACCCTTTTAGTTGAATTTGGTTGACATTTTAGAGGTTGAAAACAATTTAGAGGGTCTAAATCGGTTTTTCACGATGAAGATTCCAGTCAGCTGTTGTGAACCTTTTTGCGTGAATGTAACCAGTCCAAAGTAAGTGACACGGGAAAGCTGACTCCGTGTTGTCAGGGAATCAGGTGGCACGTGGCTGCCAGGAGAATCCAGTGCAGGGGCTTTGTGGCTATGCCTTTGATGTTCTTTTACATAGACTCTCTTTTTTTATTTTATTTTTTTATTGAGATGGAGTCTTACTCTGTCACCCAGGCTGGAGGGCAGTGGCACAATCCTGGCTCACTGCACCCTCCACCTCCCAGGTTCAAACAATTCTCCTACCTCAGCCTCCCAAGTAGCTGGGATTACAGGCGCGTGCCGCTACATTTGGCTGTTTTCTGTAATTGTGGCTTTCAAACCCGTAATTAGAAATACTTTACATCATGGCCCAGTGCATACATATGTGTATATAGATTAGTGAATAAAACACATACATAGATTACATAACTGAAACTACTTGTGATAAACTCTGTTTTCTATTTTTGTTAACAAAAAAATTTTGCGAGTGACTCATTAAATTGCTTTTGCAGCCCTGTTTGAAAAAATAGTCAATATAATCAGTATATCCTAAGACCCATTTTGGCACTAACTCACATAGAGCAACAGGATGAGAAGATAAAGACTTAACTGTTGGTGTAATGCCCTCTTCACAACAGCTATTCCAGTCTCTATCTATTCCCTCAAGCCCTGAGGCTTCTTCCCTTCAATAGACAACCTCATCAGTTTTGAAAAGGAAGGCCCTACGGTGGGCCTTAATTCAGTTCTTCATTTTTTCTGAGTATCTCTTTTAAAGCCCTTGATTTGTACAGTTTCCCCATCTAGTTACTATCTTCTTCAACTGTTAAACTTTTTGTATAAATTGTCCTGTTTATTATGCTTGAGTACTTTACTACCCTGTTCTTTAACCCTTTACAGTTTTTTAAAATTGCGTTTTACTAAAAAAATTATATGGTCAAGGTCACTGACTTTTTATACTGTGAGTCCTGTGACATTTCCTAATTATTCAGGAATGTTTAGTGTTAATGATCTGTCTCTCTCTCTTTTTTTTTTTTTTTGAGACAGAGTCTTGCTCAGTCGCCCAGGCTGGAGTGCAGTGGCGAAATCTGGGCTCACTGCAAGCTGCGCCTCCCGAGTTCATGCCATTCTCCTGCCTCAGCCTCTCGAGTAGCTGGGACTACAGGCGCCCGCCACCACGTCCAGCTAGTTTGTTTTTTTGGTATTTTTAGTAGAGACAGAGTTTCACCATGTTAGCCAGGATGGTCTCAATCTCCTGACCTCGTGATCCACCCGCCTCGGCCTCCCAAAGTGCTGGGATTACAGACGTGAGCCACCACACCTGGCTGTGTCTCTTGTTTTAAACTTAATCTGCACCTCTCCCATGTCTTATGATCAGAAAAAGCGATAAAAATTCATACTTGCTTGTGAACAGTTCAAGCTATATTAAAATGAGCAGAGAGTAAAAGATCTCATAACGCTACACTATTGTTAGTTAACTATTGTTATGTACTGATGTCCTGTTTCTGGACATTTTTCTATGTGTATACCAACACACCCCCAATTTTTCACTTTTTCTTTCCTTTCCTTTCTTTTCTTTTCTTTTTTCTTTTCTTTTTTTTTTTTTTTTTTTTTTGAGACAGGGCCCAGCTCTGTTTCCCAGGCTGGAGTGCATTGCAGTGGCACAATCACAGCTCTCTGAAGCCTCAACTTCTTGGACTGAAGGGATCCTTCCCACCTCAGCCTCTTGAGTAGCTAGAATTACAGGCATGAGCCACTGTGTCTGGCCTCCCACTATTTCTTTAAAGACAAGTGAGCTAATTTTAGAAATACCTGCTCTTAAAAACTTAACAATAGATTCCTCATATCATTCCATGACCACACTTACTACTGATAATTTTTCTTGGTAGATATTTTCCTTCTGCCACTAAAATGATAAGCTCCACAGTGCTCTCTAATGCTTTGTTCTCTGTTGTATCCTTTTACGTAGACCAGTGGTTAGGTAACTGGGTAATCAATGTGTATTTGTTCAGTGAATGGAAACCATTTAATGAGCTGAGAATTTCATTTCTCACTGATCTGAAACAACCACAATCATGACTCTAATGGTTGGACACATTATAATAGAAGAATCACATGTGCAAATGGTATTGCAATAAAGAAATTTTAAGTGGTCAGTGTACTAGAGGGGACCTGGTGGCTAGTTTAAATTTTAGTCTAATGAAATCTTTCTAGAGGTAACGTTTAAGCTGAGTACTGAATGATTATCAGAAGACAAAGGGAGAAAGGTATTTCCAACAGAGGAAACATTTAGTGCCAAGGCCACAAGACAGGAATTTAGTATTTTTGCCCTTTAAGGCTGACTGGATCTCTTTGGTTTTAGTTAGTGTGTACAAGTCACTGTATTGTTCTTTTGGTGATTCCTTGAGAGTGATTGCTAATTCAGTGTGAGTGGTCTGAGGTGCGTTGTCTGAAGTAGCAGTCACGGGCTTATTTCACATGGCTGGTGGCTACGTTATTGGACAGCACAAATACAGAACATCTCCAATATTACAGTTCTCTTTTACAGTGCTGTTCTGGAAAGTCACTAGAATATCAACTCCTTGAGATTCTTTTCACTGCTATACCCCTAGAGTTTGACACATAAGTGCCGAGTAAATATTTGGTAAATGATCAAATGAATAAATGGATAGATGGAGGCAGTATATCTGTTCCTAGATAAGGAAAAAGAAAATGTGCATAAGTTTTGAGATGATAAAGGGTTTGATATGTTTAAGAACAGAAAGAAGACTGGTTAGATCAGAGAGGAATGACAGTTTGAAATCAACGTAGAGAAACTAGTGATGTTAAACCTTCTGAATTTTGTTTTAAGTGCATTGGGAAGTGATGGAAGGGTTTGTAGCATAGCGGTAGTGTGATCTGATCTGATCTGGTCTGAATGTCTTTTTAGCAGATGATTTCATTTTACTAGCTCTCTTGAAAGTTTAATTAAAGTGATAGCGATGACAGTTTATTCAACTAGTTATTTGAGAAAGTAACTGCCTGTGGGGAATCCAGATTATTTGTTTACTTCATTTTCGGTGTTAGTGCTAGCCCCCTTGTTTTATATTTGTTTTAACAATTCTATGCTTAAAAGCAGGAACTTATAGGCAAGAACTTCTTTTTGTTCTTTTTTCCAGTGAAGGTGGTGTTTTTAAGGCTCATCTTACTTTCCCAAAAGATTATCCCCTCCGACCTCCTAAAATGAAATTCATTACAGAAATCTGGCACCCAAATGGTAAGTTTACCTAGTTTTACTTTTACATTTGTAAATGTGATGACCTGTCATTGAAGTGTTGAAGGTCAATAAGAAAGATCTGTTTCTCAGTGAAATTGCTTTGGCATGTTTGTACTGTGTTCATCGTGCACATGGCTGTGTACTGAAACCTTTAAAAAGAGGAGAGGCCAGGCACAGTGGCTCATGCCTGTAATCCCAGCACTTTAGAAGGCCAGGCAGGCAGATCACTTGAGATCAAGAGCTGGAGACCAGCCTGGCAAACATGGTGAAACCCCGTCTCTACTCAAAATACGAAAATTAGTCACGCGTGGTGGCACATACCTGTAATCCCAGCTACGTGGGAGGCTGAGGCATGAGAATCGCTTGAACCTGGGAGGCGCAGGTTGCAGTGAGCTGAGATCACACCACTGCACTCCAGCCTGGGCAGCAGTGTGAGACTGTGTCTCAAAAAAGAGAGAAAGAGAAACAGAGATCATGGGGAAAAAGTTTTTTTTTTTTTTTTTTTTTTTGGAGACGGAGTCTTGCTTTGTCGCCCAGGCTGGAGTGCAGTGGCCAGATCTCAGCTCACTGCAAGCTCCGCCTCCCAGGTTCACGCCATTCTCCTGCCTCAGCCTCCCAAGTAGCTGGGACTACAGACGCCGGCCACCTCGCCCGGCTAATTTTTTGTATTTTTTAGTAAAGACGGGGTTTCACCATGTTAGCCAGGATGGTCTCGATCTCCTGACCTCGCGATCCGCCCGTCTCGGCCTCCCAAAGTGCTGGGATTACAGGCTTGAGCCACCGCGCCCGGCCATTTTTTAATTTATTTACTTAGTTTTCAGTTTGGTTTGAGACTCATATTTTAAACCAGAGGCACGGTTACGGAGCGATAACATCAATAGAGCTCCTATAATTAAGCGAATAATTATCAAGGTATTAGGTGATTCACTGGCTATTACAAAGAACACAGAAATTATGAAACCTGGTTTTGTAATTTATAGTTTTTCCTGTTATTTTTATACCATGGACAACTCTTCTATGTATATTCTTAGGTGTAAGATTACTGACAGTGTCATATGAAACAACATACTATATTTTTTAAGCCTGGAAAGCATCTAGTATGGCTGTGCATGTAGCGATGACATTGACTTTTTTTGCTTAAAGAAGAGCTACCACTTCAAATCCACATTGTGGCAGTTCTCCTGCCTAGCCAGCTGCCGCTGGACTCTCTCCCCTGTGTATAAGCCCCCAGTAACTACGTCTTATTTAAAAAACAACAAAAAAACTTCTCTGCTTTTATAAAGTAAAATAAAATCCCCAAAGGTTAGGCTAGATAAGCTATATTTGTAAAACAGTCTCTGAACTTTTGGCTTTGTTTTGTATGATAGAACTTGCAGAGATTTCTTTTCTAATTATTTTGACTATGTAATCAGAGTTGTCTCTTTAGGCTATTATACTAATTTGCATTTTGCTTCTCATCATCAAGACTTCTGGGTGCAGGGAATAGAAACACGTATATATTGGTTTAAGCTGGAATCAGTGAGACAGGAATGAATGATTGAATGAAGTTAAACAAGGATTTATCAGAAGGATATGGAATATGTAATAGAAGCCAAGGCTTGAAAAACAGATGGGCGTTATGAGAGACTGGAACTGGCAAATGGAAAAGTACTGGGAGCCAAGGGACTTAGCATATTTTATTGCATCTAAGGCAGCAGTGATCATAAAAGATAGTTATTTTTCCTACCAGTAAGAAGGGGAAAATATCTCTAACAGTTTGTGGCAGAATGCATTAACCGTATTCCTGCATGATGTGGGCATGCATGAATGGGTCACACTTGCCTCTTGTGCTTTGACTTTTATCTCTTCCTAGGCTTTCGGCAGTTTCTTCTTCTACCTTCCCTTGCATTACTTGATTATAATAGGCAATCGTTTTGCACCTGTTTCGAAGAAGATATAACAGATTCTGAATGTTGGCTTCACCACAGATTAGCAGTGTAACTCTAAGCAAACCCTCTTGGAGCCTTAAGCTAGCTTGCCTGCCTGCCTCCCTCCCTCCTTCCGTCTCTCCTTCCCCCACTCTGCCCCTCCTTTTCTCCTTCCTTCCCTCTCTCGCTCCTTCCTTCCCTCCCTTCCCTTTCTCCCATCCCTTCCCGTCCTTTTTTTCTAAGACAGGGTCTCACTCTGCCACCCAGGCTGCAGTACAACGGCATGATCACAGCTCACTGCAGCCTTGACCTCCTGGGCTCAAGTGATCCTCCCAAATAGCTGGGATGACAAGGACACATCATCACGCCCAACTAATTGTTGTATTTTTTTTGTAAAGATGGAGTTTCACCATGTTGTTGGCCAGGCAGGTCCTGAACTCCTGGGCACAAGTGATCTGCCCACTTTGTCCTCCCAAAGTACTGAGATTACAGGCATGAGCTACCATGCCAGGCCTATGTTTTCTATCTGTGAAAATTAAGTGAAAACATACATGTAAGCAAATACATGGGAGACTTCCCTTCTGGTAGGAAGATAGCAATCACCTAGGTAGTTTAAGAGGACAACTGATAAAATGGTGTTGTGTTTTAAGATTGAAGAGACTTTTTATTTTTTTCTTTTCTTTTTTTTTTTTTTTTGGTTTCGTTTTTTTTTGAGACGGAGTCTTACTCTGTCGCCCAGGCTGGAGTGCAGTGGGACGATCTTGACTCACTGCAACCTCCATCTCCGGGGTTCAAGTGATTCTCCTGCCTCAGCCTCCTGAGTAGCTGGGATTACAAGCGTCCACCACCATGCCTGGCTAATTTTTGTAGTTTTAGTAGAGACAGGGTTTCACCATATTGGACAGGCTGGTCTCAAACCTCTGACCTCAAGTGATCCGCCTGCCTCAGCCTCCCAAAGTGCTAGGATTACAGACATGAGCCACCGCGCCCGGTCTTAGATGGAATTTTGAACAAAGATGATGTTTGGCTTGAACTTCATTCTTGAGGCTGTAAGGCCTTGTTTAATTAATGACTTTTAAAGCTGTGCATAATAGTAGGTTGTCATGACAAAAAGAGAAAATGACAAAAAATAAAAAAGCTATGTAATAGGTTCCTCTTATATTTTCCTTCTTGAAAGATTACACTCATAGAAGATTGGAAGGGGAAGTCAGAGAGATAGCAGGGAGGTAGAGCATTTTAGCAATCATTTGAGTACAAAACAATAAAAGCTTGCACTAAGAATAGTGTCGCAGGAAGGGCAGTTTAGTTTCTTTGACTTGACTGCCAGAGGTGGATGGTAATGGAGAAGTAAGAATTTAGGATTGACTGGCCATTTGCAAAAATAATTATAGAGTGAAAACCATCATGAAATAGCACTTTTTACCCGCTAGGATTCCTATAATCAAAAAGATAATAACAAGTGTCAATGAGGAAGTAGAGAAATTAGAACTCCAGTGCACTACTGGCAAGAAGGTAAATGGTGCGGATGTTTGGAAAAGAGTCTGGCAGTTCCTCAAAAGGTTAAGTATAGTTACCATATGACCCTACAGTTCCAGTCCTAGGAACCTAACCAACAAAACTGAACACACATGTCCAGAAAAAGCTTGAATATGAGTGTTCATAGCAGCGTTTATTATTCATAACAGCCAAAAAGTAGGAACAGCCCAAATGTCTTATCAGTTGATAAATAGAAAAACAAAATGTGGATCCATGTAATGGAATATTATTTGGCAATAAAAAGAAATGAATTACATGATACTGTTTTCTTAAGAAAAGAAAGAAATGAAGTAGTGATACATGTTACAACATAGATGAACCTTGGAAACATTATACTAAGTGAACAAAGTCAGTTGTAAAAGGTGACATAGGTTACGATTCTCTTTATGTGAAATGTCAAGAATAGGCAAATCCATAGAGACTGAAAGTAGATCGAAAGTAGGTTAGTGGTTCCTTACTGCTGGAGGGGAAGTGAGGGGATTGAGGAATGGTTGCTAATTGGTGCTGGGTTTCATTGTAGGGTAAAAATAGTCTAAAATTGATTGTGGTATTGATTGTACAACTCTGTAGACATACTAGACAGAAACCATTAAATTGTGTGCTTCAAATAGGTAAATTGTATAGTAGGTGAACTATAGAGATGTTATAAAATTATTATAGGGAAATAGTTTTATATGACTGACCTTACATATATTCAGTTTTTCTTGTGGTATACTTGCTACATCCAGTTAGGTAAAACTAGTCTAGGGTTCAGCAATGAGCTTAGGGGCCTTGGAAGTTACTGTATCAAGATGATAGATAACGTCATAATGAGTGGGTTAATTTTCCTAGGGAAAGTACAGTTAGTGTTGGGGATTAGGATAACATCCAAGGTCAGATTAAGGAAGATGAAAACTAGAAAGTGACTGAGACAATGGTTGAAGAACCAGGGGAAAACAAGAGTACCACAGATGCCAGGGGAGGAAAATGTATCCAGCAAAGTGTTGTCATAGTATTAGTTGTCTTGGCCCACAGGGGTGACTTCAGGTAGGTAAAAGTACCCAGGAGAATAAACATGTTATCCAGACCACTTGTGGACACAGTTGTAGCATCCTGCTAGGGAGAAGAAGCCAGTTTCTAGGAGAATAAAGGAATACCCGAGTAGTAAGCAAATAGAGAAGATGAGGGTAAATCAGTTTTTCAGAATTTCAGATTCATGGCCTCAAGAAAAAGGAGATAGCTAGAAGTGTATGCATTGTTTAGGTAGCTTAGTTTTGTTTGTTTTGGTTTGGTTTGGTTTTTTTTTTTTTTTTTTTTTGAGACGGAATCTATCTCTGTCGCCCAGGCTGGAGTGCAGTGGCTCATTGCAACCTCCGCCTCCCAGGTTCAAGCGATTCACTTGTCTCAGCCTCCTGAATAGCTGGGATTACAGGTGTGTGCCACCAAGCCTGGCTAATTCTTGTATTGTTATTGGAGATGGGCTCACCATGTTGGCCAGGCTGGTCTCGAACTCCTGACCTCAGGAGATCCGCCTACCTCAGCCTCCCAAAGTGCTGGGATTACGGGCCAGCCGTACATTACAGTGGGCCAAGCCATTGTGCCCAGCCCAGGTAGCTTAGTTCCATCTCTAATGAACACTGAAATGAAAGAAAAAAGTAACAGGCAAAAATCATACGGGGAAAACTTGAGAAACATTTTGGCAAGAGAAAAGTAAACATTAAGTACATAACTGGCTAAAGGATAAGAAGACATTTCACAAAAGAGGAAAGACACACAGGTTATATCCATGGAAAGTTGTCACCCCAAAGCATTTAGAAAAGTGAATTAAACCAGATGTCACATATAAAATTTAAACAGCATCAATAAAGGAAAATGTTCATCTTGATGAGGCAATGAAATGGACATCTCAGATTGCTGATGGCAGTATAAATTGATACAATCCTTTAAACTATAGTTTGATAATAGGTATTAAGCCTAAAAAATCTTCTCATTCTAAAATAAACTGTATGTTTAAAATGACATGAGAAGGTTAAAAATGTAAAGATCCCGGATTAGCGATAGCTTGATTTTTTTTAAAAAAGAAAAATGGATCTTATATTATGGTGTTAGAATTCTGTGCACATACTTAATAGCATGTTTTTAAAGAAAAATGACTTGGAAAAAATCCTTATTACACAATAAGTACAGAAAACATTGTAAAACAGTAATACTCTATGTTGAACTTTGTAGCGTTACAAGTTTCGATGGTCTTTTTTTTTTTTTTTTTTTTTTTTTTTTTTATGGAGATGGAGTTTCACTCATTGCCCAGGCTAGAGTGCAATGGTGCGATGTTGACTCACGGCAACCTCCGCCTCCTGGCTTCAAGCAGTTCTCCTGCCCCAGCCTCCCGAGTAGCTGGGATTACAGGCGTGTGAACAATGCCTGGCTAATTTTGTATTTTTAGTAGAGATGGGATTTCTCCATGTTGGCCAGACTGGTCTCGAACTCCTGACCGCAGGTAATCCACCCTCCTTGGCCTCCCAAAGTGCTGGGATTACAGGCTTGAGACACCACGCCTGGCCCTCAATGTTATTCTTGCCCCGATTCTATTTTAGTTAATAGATTTTACTAGCAGATAGGGATGGATTGGGAAGAGGAACCTTAATTATAGAAAAACTCATACATAAAACATAGAAGACGTGGGCCTTTCCTGCCATATATTCACTGCTGTACTTCTCTGTCACATGTGTGCCTGGCATGCAGTAGGCATTGAAAAAGTATTTGTCGGCTGGCGCAGGGGCTCTTTCCTGTAATCCCAGCCCTTTGCGAGGCTAATGTGGGAGTGTCCCAAGTGTGTGGAACCAGCCTGGGCAATACAGTAAGACGATATCTTTACCAAGAAAAAAAAAAAAAAAAGCCAGGAATGGTGCCATGTGCCTGTGGTCCCAACTACCTGGGAGGCTGAGGTGGGAGGATTGCTAGAGCCAGGAGTTTCAGACCAGCCTGGGCGACATAGTGAGACCCCATCTCTACCAAAAAAAAAGCCAGGTTAGCCAGGCATCATGCCATGTGCCCATGGTCCCAGCTACTTCGGGGGCTGAGGCAGGAGGATCGCTTGAGCCTGGATAGAGCTGTGATCATACAACTGCACTCCAGCTGGGTGACAAAGTGAGACCCTGTCTCAAAAAACCAAAACAGCAACAACAAACAACACCAAAAAATAAGAATTTTGTTGAATTAAGAGAGTAGTGATATTGATTGGTATATACAGACTTTGATTCTGATTACCCAGAGTTCATAACAGCAGAAATACTGATGTTATGAAATGAAAAATAAGATTTAGAATTATATTTATTCACAAAGTTGTTAGACTAGATAGGATAAGTTAGGAATGAAATATACATAAATATTGTCACTACTCAAATTCCTTTCTAAAATTTCTTCCTCAAAGTGTGCTTTTAAAAAAAATTTACAGTGGGTAAACGTTACCATAAAAGATTCATTTCACAATAGGGATTATTTGTATGATGTATAAATGAATTAGTGGATTAAGATCTTTTTTTTAATCAATAAGTAGTATTTTACTTTTTGCCGAACCACTTAAACAGGTCAATACATGTCTCCTAAAAATAAGGATGTTTTTCTTATTAAATGTGTTCATGGAAAGGAGGCCTCATGAGTGTCATATATGTTGATGAGTTTTCATTGGCAGTATGGCATGTTTCTTTTGTGAATTTGAATATACTCCTTTCCCAGAAAATACAATTTTGCCTTTATATGATTGTAAAAATACATTTCTTAGGAAAATCTCTCGACCTTTGAGTATCACTAATTTAAGTCGGTAAGTTAGTGGGGAAACTAGGAAGCCATTACACAGAAACTCAGTTGCTGGCATTTGGAAAAATATGCTTTCTGCACATGAAGAATGCATCCAATAGTTGCTGCTTATTCATTTATTATATTATACTTAGGACATGTAAATGTTAGGCACCATCTACATACTAGATAGCTTTATGTTTTACATAAATAAAAAGATAGCTTACATTCCTACTGGGTTTGTCAGATGGATCCTGTGTATTTGGTAAAATCTATGCTATAGTCTTCCTAAAAAAGTCAACACGTTCCATTTTGGACATTAACTTCTGTGTATGTGTCATGTTTGATAAAGGTACTGTGTGAATCAGGGTCACATTTGTAATTGATAATTTTGTGTATAACCAAATTAGCAATATATGAAACAAGCCTCTTCTTGAATTTTGCAGTTGATAAAAATGGTGATGTGTGCATTTCTATTCTTCATGAGCCTGGAGAAGATAAGTATGGTTATGAAAAGCCAGAAGAACGCTGGCTCCCTATCCACACAGTGGAAACCATCATGATTAGTGTCATTTCTATGCTGGCAGACCCTAATGGAGACTCACCTGCTAATGTTGATGCTGCGGTAAGGCGGTCACACGTCTTCCCTTCACTTTCCCTTGTGATAAAACTTGAACTATAGTTAGTATGTATGTAAGTATGCATGAATGTGTGCATGCATGTGTGTGTGTGTATATGTATCTTTCCATAGTTCTTATTTTTGACAAAATAAATATAAATATGTTTATTTATGTATGTATTTATTTTTTTTTGAGACAGGGTCTCTCTCTGTCACCTAGGCTGGAGTGCAGTGGCACCATCATAGGTCACTGCAACCTCAAACTCCTGGGCCCAAGTGGTCCTCCAGCCTTGGCCTCCCAAATTGTTCCAATGACATGTGTGAGCCACTATGCCTGGCCAAAAGTGCATATTTATTGTATACAACATGTTGTTTTGAAATATGTATATGTTGTGGAGTGACTAATTGAGCTAATTCACATACACATTACCTCACATACTTACTAATTTTGTTGTGGGAACACTTAAATTCTCCTCTCCGCAGTTTTCAAGAATACTGTACGTTATTAGGATGGAAACTGTGACACCCAATTTAGAATTGGGGGTGGGATGGGCAGAGCAGAAGTGTAGTTTTTCAATGCAGTCAGATTTTTATCAGCTTAAAATGGCTTGTCGTAGCTATGAAATTTTTTTGTAAGCCTCATGGTAACCACAGAGCAAAATCCTATAGTAGTTAACACAAAAGATAAAAAGTAAGGAATCGGGGCTAGGCACGGTGGCTCATGCCTGTAATCCCAGCACTTTGGGAGGCTGAGGCGGGCGGATCACAAGGTCAGGGGATCGAGACCATCCTCGCTAACATGGTGAAACCCCGTCTCTACTAAAAATACAAAAAATGAGCTGGGTGTGGTAGCAGGCGCCTGTAGTCCCAGCTATTTGGGAGGCTGAGGCAGGAGAACGGCTTCAACCCGGGAGGTGGAGGTTGCAGTGAGCCGAGATCATGTCACTGCACTCCAGCCTGGGAGACAGAGCGAGACCTGGACTCTAAAAACAAGAGCGATTGTCATACCTAAGACAATTTAATGCCTAGTCTAAAGTTCATGTTATTATCCCCAAGTTCTCAATTTTCAAAAGTTTCACATCTATAGAAAAAAATGTATTAGTTAAATGAACACCACCATACCTTTCACCTAGATTCACCAGTTGTAGAAATTTTGCAACACTTTTTTCTAAACAGTTTGAGAGTAGTTTATAGATACCATAACCCTTCACCCCAAAATGTTTCAGGATCTGTTCCCTAAGAACAATGCTGTCTTTCCACGTGACAGACTTACTTACAGACTTACACAGTACAAGTCTGTCATTGATGTGGTACTATATACAATCTATATTCACATTGGATTGGATTGTCCCGTATTCTTTATAGCTGCCACGCCCCCATCCTGCAGCTTTTTTTCTTTTTAAATCCAGAGGCTAGTCTAGGAACCTCTGTTATATTTGTATTCAAGTTTTATTAGTTTGCTTTAATCCAGAATAGTTGCTAGTTCCTTAGCCTTCTCTCTTTCTTTGAAAAGCCTTTCATTCTTATTCTGAGAACCTTTGTTAGTACTATATACCAAAGCCAGGGCATAACATTTACCTTTTTTCTTAGGTTAATAATAACTTGGGTGGAATCTTATATATAGACTAAGACACTATAGATAACTCCCTTTGAAAGCTATGACTGAAATTAATAATAGAATTGAACTAAAAACGGCAGAAAACTGTCTTTCTATTTAATCAAGTATTAGTCTAAACAATGTAAGAGATGATAAGGGAGAAGGGGTGATAGCTGCATTAAAAGAAATCCTAGGGAATCATTTTGAGAGAGAACTGATGAATGTTTATTTGGTTCATGCTCAACTATCAGCAATTTTAATAATAAGATCAGAGTTGGCTGGGTGCGGTGGCTCACACCTGTAATCCCCGCCCTTTGGGAGGCTGAGACGGGCAGATCACAAGGTCAGGAGTTTGAGCCATAGTGAAACCCCCGTCTTCACCAAAAATACAAAAAAATTAGCCAGACGTGGTGGCACGTGCCTGTAATCCCAGCTACCTGGGAGGCTGAGGCACGGAAAATTGCTTGAACCTGGGAGGCGGAGCTTGCAGTGAGCTGAGATTGCACCACTGCACTCCAGCCAGAGTGACAGTGCGAGACTCTGTCTCAAAAAAAAAAAATCAGAGCTGACAAGTTGCCTTTTTTATTTTACGTATGTATTTGCCCTTTTGAACCAGAGTCTTGCTCTGTCACCCAGGCTGGAGTGCAGTGGCGCGATCTCCGCTCACTGCAACCACAACCTCTGCCTTCCGTGTTCAAGCGATTCTCCTGCCTTCGCCTCCCAAGTAGCTGGTGTTACAGATGTGCGGAACCACGCCCAGCAATTTTTTTGTGTGTTTTTAGTAGAGATGGGGTTTCACCACGTGGGCCAGGCTGGTCTCGAGTTCCTGACTTCAAGTGATCCGCCCACCTCGGCCTCCCAAGGTGCTGGGATTACAGGCTTGAGCCACCACATCCAGCCTTTTTTTTTTTTTTTTTTTTTTTGGTGACAGAGTCTCACTCTGTCGCCCAGGCTGGAGTGCAGTGGCGCGATCTCAGCTCCCTGCAACATCCACTTCCCAGGTTCACATCATTCTCCTGCGTCAGCCTCCCGAGTAGCTGGGACTACAGGTGCCCGCCACTACCACTGGCTAATTTTTTTGTATTTTTAGTAGACACAGGGTTTCACCGTGTTACCCAGGATGGTCTCGATCTCCTGACCTCGTGATCCGCCCACCTCGGCCTCCCAAAGTGCTGGGATTACAGGCATGAGCCACCGGCCCCTGCCCTGGCCCTTTTATCTTAAAGAAGAGTAAATTAATAGCCAATAACCAAGACCATGAATATGCAAAAATGTTTATTAACCCTCAAAATAGCTGAATCCAAAAAAAAGCCAAATGTACTGCCAAAGTAAAGTTATTCTCTTGATGTTAAACATTTTCCTACGTGTTGAAATAGGCCTTAATGTGAAGTTGAAATATGCAAGCATGAGTTCTAGTCCAAACACCACAAATTGTGCAAAATCTATTCCATTTTTTTTTTCTTGAAACCCACTGATTCTTCCTTCTGATTTAACTAGTTAGTTGTCTCATATTAAAACCAAAAACCATAACTTATAAACAGTTTACTATTCTTTTTTTGAGACAGAGTCTCACTTTTACTCAGGCTGGAGTGCAATGGCACAATCTCAGCTCACTGCAACCTCCACCTCCCAGGTTCAAGTGAGTCTCTTGCCTCAGCCTTCTGAGTAGCTGGGATTACAGGCGGGTGCCACCACATCTGGCTAATTTTTGTATTTTTGGTAGAGACAGGGTTTTGCCATGTTAGTCAGGCTGGTCTCAAACTCCTGACCTCAGGTGGTTCACCCACCTCAGCTTCCCAAAGTGCTGGGATTATAGTCGTGAGCCACCACACCTGGCCCAGTTTACTGTTCTTACTTGCTTTTTCTTCTTGCATACTACACCTTTGATTATGTTTTCATAGTATCGTTTTTCTGACCTCTCAATCAGCAGTACATATTCCAGGAAACCCCCATTTTTCTTAGCCACCTCTTTCCTGGATCCCTTTATTCTTTGGCTTCATTTTTTTTTTTTTTTTTTTTAAGATGTAGTCTCACTCTGTCGCCAGGCTAGAGTGCAGTGGCACAATCTCAACTCACTGCAACCTCTACCTCCCAAGTTCAAGCAATCCTCCTGCCTCAGCCTCCTGAGTAGTTGCGACTACAGGCACATGCCACCATGCCCAGCTAATTTTTTGCATTTTTAGTAGAGACGGGATTTCACCATGTTGGCCAGGATGGTCTTGATCTCTTTATGTCTAATCTGGCTGCTTTGGCCCCAGATTTGATTGACTTTCTCAGCCTGCTGCTTAGCTGACTTGCTCAGATTACCCCTTCACAATTGAATCTTTTGTTTCATGGATCCCATTTCTTCTTTTTTTTTCTTGGTTGATTTCCTCCTTCATCCTAGAGTAATCTCTTAGGGTATGTGGCAATGAAATCCTTAGTCTATTTATGATGTAAGGTGCTTTTATTCTTCCCTTATACTTGATTGATGCTTGGTTTCTAATATTATAGGAAGAAAATCAAATTTACGTAGAATTTATATTTTACCATTTATTATTGCTGATGTGAAAATTGATGCTAGGTTGATCTTTTCCATTTTTAGGTGACTTGTTCTTTTTTCCTTTTTTTTCCCCATTGTCTTTAGGTTCTTTTCTTTATTGTTGGTCTTTGGAAATTTCACAGAGTTGTGTGAACTCTTTTTAATTTGCCAAATTAAAATTTGCTTTAATTTTAAAGACTACCAGCCCTGGGAAATTTTCCTTTTAAATTATTTTGAGGCTGGGCGTGGTAGCTTATGCCTGTAATCCCAGCACTTTGGGAGGCCGAGGCAGTTGAGTTACTTGAGGCCAGGATTTCGAGATCAGCCTGGGCGACATGGTGAAACCCAATCTACAAAAAGTACAAAAATTAGCTGGGTGTGGTGATGTGTACATGTAGTCCTAGACGCTCCAGAGGCTGAGGTGGGGGGATTGATTGCATGAGCTCAGGTGTTCAAGCCTGCAGTGAGCTATGATCACCGCTGCACTTCAGCCCAGGCAACAGAGTGAGAAGAAGTGACAGTGACAGTCTGGGGAAAAAAGAAATGCTATTTATGTCATTCAAAGCTGTATGGCTATATAGCTATATGGAAGACAAAGCAGGTACTAAACTGAAAGTAAGGGTTGGAGGAAGAGGTGTCATTTAAATTCCAAAATGAAGGAGTAATTGTTTTTGGCACCAATACCCACACTAGCAGTTCTTTTATTTATTTTTTGGTCTTTCTGAGACAAGAGTCTCACTCTGTCGCCCAGGCTGGAATGCAGTGGCGCGATCTCGGCTCATTGCAACCTCTGCCTCCCGAGTTCAAGCGATTCTCCCACCTCAGCCTCCTGAATAACAGGGATTATAGGCATGTGCCACCATGCCTGGCTAATTTTTTTGTATTTTTAGTAGAGATGGGGGTTTCACCATGTTGGCCAGGCTGGTCTTGAACTCCTGACTTCAGGTGATCCGCTTGCCTCTGCCTCCCAAAGTGCTGGGATTCTAGGCATGAGCCACAGTACCCAGCCTAGCAGTTGTAATTATAGTGTTCTTCAGTATGTTTATACAAAATTTATATATTATCATTATTATTTTGGGAAACTTAACATTTTGATATAGGTGAGGGAAAATGTTGAGTATACAGACTTTCAGTTAATCTCTATTTTCAGTCCCTCTTTTTTTTGAGAGATGGAGTCTTGCTCTGTCCCTCAGGCTGGAGTGCAGTGGTGCGATATTGGCTCCCTGCAACGTCTGCCTCTCAGGTTCAAGCGATTCTCCCGCCTCAGCTTCCCAAGTAGCTGGGACTCCAGGCGTGCGCCACCATGTCCAGCTGATTTTTGTATCTTTTAGTTGAGATGGGTTTCATCATGGTGGCCAGGCTGGTGTTGAAGTCTTGATCTCAGGTGATCCTGAGGTCCTGCCTCGGCCTCCCAAAGTGCTGAGATTATAGGTGTGAGCCACCATGCACGGCCTCAGCCCCGTTTTTTATTCAGGCTCTTCTCAGATTTGCCATTTCCAAATTTTAGCTTCTTTAGGCCTCTGTTCAATAGTCGCTTTTCCCTTTGTTTCCCCTCTCCCCCAATTCCTCTCTGTCTTGCTCTCTCTCTCTCCTTCCCTTCTCTTCCCCTCCCCTCATTACCCCACTGTTCTGTTCCATTTTTGCATGTCAGACAGTGACAGTGATAATTGGCATCTGTTTTTCTCTACACTAGAAATGGTACTTAGTATCATCTCAATATGATGCATCCCACCTACCTACCTTACGTTGCAGACACGTTTATGTTTATATTCTGGTAGTTTCCAATAGGGAGAGTTGGTAATCCTTCAGATTAGCAACTGAATGTCTTTTTTTTTTTTTTTTGAGACAGAGTTGCTCTGTCATCCAGGCTGCCATGCAGTGGCGCCATCTCAGGTCACAGCAACCTCTGCCTCCCCGGTTCAGGTGATTTTCCTGCCTCAGCCTCCTGAGTAGCTGGGATTACAGGCATGGGCCGCCACGCCTGGCTAATTTTTGTACTTTTACTTTCAGCATATTGGTCAGGCTGGTCTCAAACTCCGGACTTCATGATTCACCCACCTCGGCCTCACAATGTGCTGGGATTATAGCCGTGAGCCACGGCGCCTGGCCTGAATGTCTTATTTGTGTATTTTAACTTTCTTTTTCAGTGTAATACAAAACTGTAAATGTTCTTTTGTGATCTTTTTCTTTTTTAAAGATAATTTTTAATGTAGAGGGAATTTGCATAGGAGATTTCTGCCTGTATATCCTGGTAGTGTCTTGCAAAAGTATGTCTAACTGCTTTCTACCTTATCAGCTTTATAATATTTTTGAAGTGGACAAATCACCAAGGGATTACATTCAAAATTAAAATAAATATTTGAGATTATAAAGAGGAGTTTGCATGAAATCACTTGATACTGCTTTTTTAATCTACAGAAAGAATGGAGGGAAGATAGAAATGGAGAATTTAAAAGAAAAGTTGCCCGCTGTGTAAGAAAAAGCCAAGAGACTGCTTTTGAGTGACATTTATTTAGCAGCTAGTAACTTCACTTATTTCAGGGTAAGTTTATTTTAAATATCATACTTTTGTTTTTTTGTAAGTATCATATTAGTTTTTGGAAATTGTGTGATTTGGGTATTTGAATTACATTTTTTCATTGACTTCATTTTTTAATGGTATTATCCAGTAGTCTCGTTCTTAAAACTACTGTATAATCTGCTTGCTTTTCTCCTAAGACATCAACTGTTTTTGACTAGATATTCTGCTTTCATATGGTTAGTATGCTGGTGGCCTATTTCTTTTCACTGATGGTAAAGTTTCTAATGATAAGGTTCTTATTTCCGTTTAGTTTCTTTGTTTGACTTTTTGATCTAGCATCCTGATCACTTGGGCACTAATGTCTCTTACATCTTTTTTTGTTTTTGAGACAGAGTCTCGCTCTGTCGCCCAGGCTGGAGTGCAGTGGCACGATCTCGGCTCACTGCAAGCTCCGCCTCCCAGGCTCACGCCATTCTCCTGCCTCAGCCTCCCCAGTAGCTGGGACTACAGCACCTGCTACCACGCCCGGCTAATTTTTTGTATTTTTAGTAAAGATAGGGTTTCACAGTGTTAGCCAGGATGATCTCCATCTCCTGACCTCCTGATCCGCCCGCCTCGGCCTCCCAAAGTGCTGGGATTATAGGCATGAGCCACCACTCCCGGCCTCTTATATCTTCATATACTGTATTATGTAGGGTATAGGCAAGACTATTAGCCATCTACCTATTCAAGGTTGGTCTGGCTGGGCGCAGTGGCTCACGCCTGTAATCCCAGCACTTTGAGAAGCCGAGGTGGGTGGAACACCAGAAGTCAGGAGTTCGAGACTAGCCTGGACAACAAGGTGAAACCCTGCCTCTACTAAAAATACAAAAATTAGCTGGGCGTGGTGGCGTGCACCTGTAATCCCAGCTACTCAGGAGGCTGAGGGAGGAGAATCGCTTGAACCCAGGAGCCGGAGGTTGCAGTAAGTCAACATCGCGCCATAGCACTCCAGCCTGGACAACAGAGCAAGACTCTATCCCAAAAAAAAAGCAAAAAACAAAAAAAAGTTGGTCTTCTATCTCCTTGGTCTTTACAGATAGGGCCAGCAGTAAAAACTTGCCTTTCATTGTATAACATCTGTCTACAGTTTATGTTAGGTCTAGAAAGGAGTCAAAGATGGAAGGCACCCATCTACCTTAGAAGAGGAAATAATATAGATTAATTGTCCACATGTGGGTTATTTGGTCTCTTCTTTTAAAAAATTAAATATTGAAATGATAGAAACTGAAGTGAAGACTATCCTTTCAGGGGTGGTTTCTATAGTTTGTTACTATAGAAGTTTTCTGAAGGCTTAGAGCACCAAAGGATATAACATTGAGCTTGTTTCAAATTCAGCTGCTTTGATTCAGCAAGCTGCAACAGTTAAAAACATAGCAGAAAATATTTTAGTATCTGTGTCTCTGAAAAAGGAATAGTTCTACAGGTTTGTGAATAAGGTCTAAGAGTTGTCCAGCTTCAGAAACAAGATGCCAGATGATTCATAAGACCTATTTGTGACATTTAAATTATGCAATAAAAGACCTATTGATTTGTGAGGGTTAAGGGAGAAACTGAAATACAGTGTCCAAAAAAATCACACTTCATGGTACATCTTGAATCTACCTATTTTAAGAAAACGAACATTACCATTATCTTCTGTCCCCTAGACGCCACTGCTTTGTTCTGTTTCTTTCTCATATTCCTAATTCTGGGTTTACTATTGCTTTTCTTCATAATTTTACCAAATTTGCATTTTTAAACAATATATTTCATGATTTTGAACTGTTTATATGTGGAATGATAATGAATGTATTCTTCTGTTACTTTTATTGCTCAACATTCTTCAGGTTGATCTGTGTTGTTGCAAATAGGTGTATTTCACAAGTGTGCTGTTTCTTTTGGTAAATTACCGCTCTGCTCCTTACTGTCATTGCAGTTATTTTCTGAATTGGTGTAGGGGTGTTTTTCTTTTTCTGTGATAGAGGGTGGCTCTCCTTGTTTCCTGATTTGCATGTTGTACTGTAAGAGTTTCTCTAGGGTATATACTTAGGGGTGGAATTGTTAAATCAAGGGTACACGTATGTCATTTTGACTAGATAATGCCAAATTATTTTCTAAAGTGTTCCTTCTTTACATAGTCCCATTGGCAAGGATAAATGTTCCCTTTGCGGCCGGGTGCAGTGGCTCATGCCTGTAATCCCAGCACTTTGGGAGGCTGAAGCAGATGGATCACAAGGTCAGGAGTTCAAGACCAACCTGGCCAATATGGTGAAACCCTGCCTCTTCTAAAAATATAAAAAATTAGCCAGGTGCGGTGGCAGGCACCTGTTGTCCCAGTTACTCAGGAGGCTGAGGCAGGAGAATTGCTTGAACCCGGGAGGCAGAGGTTGCAGTGAGCCGAGATCGTGCCACTGCATTCCAGCCTGGGCAACGAGAGCAAAACTCCGTTCCAAAAAAAAAAAAAAAAAGATTCCCGGCTGGGCATGGTGGCTCACGCCTGTAACCAAGCACTCTGGGAGATGGACAGATCACCTGAGGTCAGGGTTCGAGATCAGCCTGGCCAACATGGCGAATTCCCGTCTCTACTAAAAAATACAAAAATTAGCTGGGCATGGTGGCTTGGACCTGTAATGCCAGCTACTCAGGAGGCTAAGGCTAGAGAATCACTTGAACCCAGGAGGTAGAGGTTGCAGTGAGCTGAGATTGCACCACTCCCTTCCAGCCTGGGTGACAGAGCAAGACTCTGTCCCAAAAGAAAAAGAAAAAAAAAGAAGGATTCCCTTTGCTTCATATACTCAATAACATTTGAGATTATCAGAAATCTGAAAGATTATCAATCTGACTTGGCATGGTAGCTCATGCCTGTAATCCCAGCATTTTGGGATCTCATCTCAATGGGCAGATTA